CTCGAGAGGCAGTAAGTAATAGGGAGACGCCACTAAAGTGCTTTCATTAAAAAATATATTTACTATAGTGTCAAAGTGAGATTTTTACATAGTTACCAGTGTATAAAAAATATATTTTTTTCCAAAACTGTCATCAAAAGTCGATTTTTTCGTTAAATTTTCAGTTGACACAGTGTCTTTTTTGTCACGTAGCTGCAAAATACTTTTATGTTCTAGAACACAAAAGTCTTTTTCGTTCTAAAACATAAAACAAATGTCAAAATAATTTGTAATTTTTTTGGAACTTATTTATGAATTTATTAATTAAACTATATACAATTTAAGTAATATAACATTTCAATACAAAACAGTATCTAACTATCATAAACAGGACGATTACAATTTATTTTGCACTACATGTATATTGAAAGCTTTTAGTTTTGGGTGTTCAGTGAGGCGGCTGCTGTAATTGTTTAAGTTTACTGCGCACGTTGTATTATTAGCAAGTTCCGTAGGCTCTGCTGAAGATGATAACAATTAATTTACTATTGAAATTTTATTTCGTATAGAATCTGCTATACAGTGTGTATCAGTCAAATGGATTAAATTCAGTAATAAATAAATGGGAGCGTGTTCAAAAAAAATGCTCGGACACGTCGGTTGATTAGTATCTTTATTTGTGCATTTCTTTCAACTAAAACTTTTTGTACATTGTTGTAGCAGTGTTCAATACCAACTTTCTTATTTTAAACACAATACCCTGTATATTATTCAATTTTTGAATTCTTCAGAAAATTCTAGACATATTTCATGTATGTACAATGTCTTCAACTGTTTCGGAAATACTAAGTGTTTTCAGATCTATTGCAAAAATTAACATTAAAAGAAAAAGATTTGATTACAGAAATTCGCTACAACACACTCAAAAACTAATAAGTAATACTGTTTATTTATTGATAATGTAAAAAAATAAAAAAAACATTAATGTCAATGTAGGAGATGTTTAGAATGCTTGCCGCAAATTGCTTCTAACGTTACTCAAAATCTCAGACGTGACCAATCTAATCGCAAGCGTTATTCGTCTTCTCAAGTCCGCAAAGTCGAGGGGTTTAGTTTTGTATACAATAATTTTGACATATCCATATAAGAAGAAGTCTAATGGTGTTAGATCGGGGGATCGTGCTGGCCATTCCATCGATCCTCGCCTCCCTATCAACTGATTTGGAAATATTCGGTTGCGGTACTGCCGGACATTGATTTGGTAAAGGGGCGGTGCACCGTCTTGCTGAAACCATCAGGTGCACTCATCAGAAAACAAAACATGTTCTAATTAGATCACATTGTTATCTAACATTGCCATCATTTGTTCACAAAAATACGTTCTCCTATCAAAATCGTCTTCCATGAGCTTCTGAGTTTCATTTTATAGGGATACATTTTCTTTTAATATTTGAATAATCGATTAATGTGTTCGATGAATCGACATTGGGGGTGATTTTCGACTAGAACTCAAGCATAATATCCAATATGGTATCATCACTTATAGCATTGGCAGCTGCTTTGTTTATCTGCCTTACATGTCCAAGCTCATGAAACTGCTTTTCTATTTTACTAATTATTGTCCCTTCCATATGTGTCCGTGTGTTATCTTCATAACCAATTATCTGTAGAATTGTTATTTTGTGCATTTCTGTTAAATGAACCAGTTTTCTGATATGTAGTTTAATAATTAACGAAACTCAAACGACTGTGACAAGCAAACAACATGTTATTAAATGTAACAAATTTAGACAAATGTAAACAAAACTATTTATAGTTAATATTTCCGAAACAGAAGATAGATATAGGATATTGTACCTTGTTTAGAATTTTCTGAAGAATCTAAAAATTGCATAATATACAGGGTGTTGCAAATAAGAAAGTTGATATTAACCACTATTATATGACACACCCTGATTAAAAGGTTTTGTTGAAAAAAATGCCCAATTAATGTTAAAGGACCACGCTCAATCCTTATGGAAAATGGGTTTAGGCCAATTTTTCTGAAACTTGGCAAGTCTCAATGGGCACAAAGCCCAAAAACCCCTTTCGAATTCAACCCCCAAAGGCGAAAAGCTGATCATAGGCCGGTTGCCTTACAGCAATATTATACAGCCATAAAATAATTAGTAGTTAGCCACCCAATGACTTAGACTGTGACTTTTATCTTCTCGCTATTGAGTTACTTCTCCCACTTTGCCACCACCACCACCACCACCCCCAATACACACACACCTCATCTAAACGTAATAAAAGATGCTATCAACTTTGGCCTAACCTAAAGTGAGAAAAAATAATCTTAAACTAAAACTATGAGGGTGCAACGTATAACTCCAAATAATAGATAGTTAGTCCCAACCAAATGACTCTTTATGGGTTTGATCTATAAGCCTAACCTTATAGAAAGTAGTTAACCTGCGACCCCTGTGCACGAGATGTATGTATCATCAAACCATAGAGATATGGTCCTGACCTAAAGATCCTCTGTGAGTTATGAGCCTTGACAGTAATCCCAACCTAAAAAGTCTTTAGTGTAGAACTCACTGCATTGGGTTTCATCTTCCTTCATCTTCATCATCTAGTGGTTGGTCCTTTAAAAGTCCCATAGCACTGCGGCCTAATTAGGCCTATTGTGCGTCCCACTACTAGTCCTATTCAGCAAGTAGATTTGTCCTTTTTACAAAGTCCAAAAGCTTCCTTGCTGACACTTCTCTCAGCTCCTTGGGTTCCAAATAGGGTCTCCCAAGGAGCGCCATTCTGCTACGTGCAAATCCCGGGCACTCGCCCAGGATATGCAGAGAAGTTTCATCCGCCGATTCACATCCTCGGCAGACCGGACTGTCTACAAGCTTTAGTCTATGTAGATGTTTCTTAAAGTGACAGTGTCCCGTTATGAGTCCTGTCACTCTCCTGAGCCGGATTCTATTCAAGCTCAGTAACTCAATCGCTCTTCCATTCGAAGGATACTCCATAAGCTCCTTGGAATGGCTATGTCCTGGCCTTGAAGTCCAGTATTTCCTATGTTCTGTCTCTGTCCATTTGCCCATAGCCCGCCTGACCACACTGGGAGATGTGCCACAGAAGGGCTCCGGGCCAATGAACACTGTTTCGGATCCCTTCCTCGCAAGTTCATCCGCTTTCTCATTTCCACAAATGCCTTTGTGCCCTGGCACCCAACACAGTCTGACTGTATTGTTGGTGGCCAGTTCAGTTAGCATTTGTAAACAGTCCCACACCAGTTTTGAACTTACCTTGTGTGCGGCTAAAGCTTTAATTGCAGCTTGACTATCAGAGAATATATATATGAGTTTACGTCTATAACCTCTACGTACATTCTCTGCCAGACACGCCATTATTGCGAAGATTTCTGCTTGGAATACAGTAGGGAACTCCCCCAGACTGTAGCTTGCACTCCATCTGGGTCTGAGTCCATATATTCCTGCACCCGTCCCTCTGGTCATTTTGGAGCCATCTGTAAACCATACTAGGCTCCACCTTTCCAGGGTATTAAACCTTTCCTCCCACTCGCTTTGATCCTCTATTCGAGTCTCAAATGGCTTGTGGAAGTGAAACTTTGGAACCATCTTGTCGGATACCATCCCAAGAATTGGTTCCGACATAGATGTATCTTTGATCCTGGAGTGGGAACCACCCCTCCAGTCATTATTATTCCTGAGTCGATATGCTGCTAGCCGCGCTTCTCTCTCCACCACTATATGCAGCGGTGGCAGATTTAGCATGACTTCTAGTGCAGCTGTCGGGGTCGATGCCATCGCCCCCGTTATACCTAAACAGGCCAATCTCTGAATTCTATTCAGTTTTTCCTTCGCTGTGGTCTGTTGTGTTTTCTGCCACCATACCACAGCGCCGTAAAGAATCCTGGGTCTTACTATCGACGTATACAACCAGTGTGACATCTTTGGTTTCAGTCCCCAGGTTTTCCCAATAAGGCGGCGGCATACACACAATGTCTGCTTCGCCTTACTCACCACTTTTTCCAAGTGCGCATTCCAGGTAAGCTTATTATCCAGTATCACTCCTAGATATTTTACTTCCCTGGAAAATGTAATGCCCCTCTCCCCTATTATAGGTTCAGAGAGTCCAGTTAAATTTCTTCTCCTGGTGAAGGGTACTACGACCGTTTTGTCAGGGTTTACTGACAGTGCCTGCCCCTTACACCAGTCATCTATCCATTTCAAAGCCTCTTTCATGAGTTCTGAAACGATAATATTATGTTTCCCGACTATGAGAACGACCAAGTCGTCCGCATAGCCTTGTGTATAAAATCCCTTTCGATTAAGGCCCTCCAGTGCGCCGTCCACCACTAATCCCCATAACAAGGGAGACAGTACGCCTCCCTGGGGGCAGCCCCGGCCTACCTTACACCTGGATGTCTCTCCCGAAAGGGTAGCTGTTACTGTCCGGTTTCTCAACATGGTATCTATCCAACGACACAAAGTGTCTTCAAGGCCCCTGTTGCGAACTGCCGAATTAATAGATTCGAAAGGTGTATTGTCAAATGCCCCTTCAATATCTAAAAAAGCTGCCAAAGCTAGATCTTTGTCGTCCATTGCCCTCTCTATCCTAGAGACTAGGCTATGAAGGGCTGTGTCGACTGATCTGCCTGCCTGATAGGCGTATTGGTACCTGTGCAGAGGATTTGCCCTCAATACCCCGTCCCTTATATGCCTGTCAACTATTCTCTCCAACGTTTTCAGGAGGAAAGATGTTAAACTTATCGGGCGATATGCCTTTGCCTGGGCATACGATGGACGCCCTGGTTTAGGAATAAACGCCACGTTCGTCGATCTCCATGCCAGCGGTATATAACCAAGTGCAATGCTGGCTCTGAAGACGTGAATTAAGACCGGAGCTAGACAGTCCACCCCCTGCTGTAGCAGTACAGGTAGGATTCCATCGGCTCCTGGTGATTTAAATGGGTCAAAAGAACTTATTGCCCATCTTATTCGTGACTGACTCACCACCGTCTTGGCAACCTCCCAGTTCTGTCGAGACCCGGTCGTTACCCTCTGCTGGTGATTCCAGTCATATTCATCTCCATGATTTAATAACCTGGAGCCTGGAAAGTGAGTATTTAGAAGTAATTCCAATGTCTCCCTTCCAGTTTTGGTATATTCCCCACTCGGTGCTTTGAGAGACCCGAGTTTCGTATGTCCGTTCTTAGAGAGAAGTCTCTGGAGTTTAGCACACTGTGGGACACTATCAATATCCTCACAGAACTTCCTCCATGAGTCTCTCTTCGCTTTTCTAATTTCTTTATTATACTCAGTGAGGGTTGCTCTATAAGTCTCCCACTCTCCTGTCCGCTTTGCTCTATTAAATAGTTTTCTTGTCTGTCCCCTCAACTGCGTGAGTTCCTTGCTCCACCAGGGTACGGTGTGCTTATCGGACCTCACTTTGATAGGACAGCTGTATTCATATGATCTTGTGACGGCGTTTTGGAGTTCCTCCACGGCCCTCTCAAGATCATATGTGTTCCTTAGTTTTGTACAGATTTCCCTAGTCCTGGCCTGTAACTCCGTTCTATAGGAGTCCCAGTCAGTTCTTTTTGGGTCTCTGTAGGTTCTTACTTGCGGATTATAATCCGTTATAATTTCAAAGTGGATATGTCTATGATCCGACATTGACGGCTCATTCGACACATGCCACCTCGCAATATTATTACATATCGGTCCCGATCCCACTGTTATATCGATGACTTCACTTCTATTTTTTATAACAAAGGTGGGCTCGTTCCCGACATTCAAAATCTCTAGATTATAACTAAAAAGAAAATCTAGTAAAGACTCACCTCGATCGTTGACATCGCTGCTTCCCCACACCGTATGGTGTGAGTTAGCATCACATCCCACGATGAGTTGTTTCTTCTCCTTCTCGCACCAGGCCACCAGGTCCCTCAGTTCCCTGGTTGGAGGAGATTCTTTCTTATCGTAAGGGAGGTACGCTGAGCAAACTACCAGTTGTCTCTGCGTTCCCTCCGATACATAAGTCACTTCGGCCGCCACCAGGTCATCCGTGCAGAACCCTGGAAGAGGAAAAATATTAATACTACTCTTGTAATAAATACAAGCTCTAGGTCTAGTTTGGTGGCCACAATACAGTAAGCCACCATTACTTACCTGCAATCCTCTGATCCGGGATCCATGTACCCAAGGCTCCTGGATCAAAGCTAAATCCGCATTTACGCGCGCCACACTGGCACAGAGAGCAGCAGATGCCGCTCTACTGTGCTGAATGTTCGCTTGTATTACCTGGAATTTGACCAGATAATACAGATTTTGGTCCCTCCTGATCTTCATCAGAAGGTCCCAAATCTACCCTGCCCTTCTCCAGGTTCCTAAAAAGGACCCTGGTGAAGTTCAGAAATGGTCTGAAGCCCTCCTTCTGAAGTACCTTCACACTCATCTCATCTACTGAGAGGACTAGGGTCTGGCCCTTCTCCTCAACCTTGCGGTTGATTAGCCTCCAGGCCCCCGTCCTCAATTCCCCGTTCTGGTTTTCCAGACGGCGCATGATGGTTTCCGGTTCATCAGGATGACCCGGAATCCACACGATGAACTTAGTGAACTTAGGTAGGTCCCTAGGCTCAACAGCGCTGAGTCTAGCCCCCTCCCAAGGCACCAAGCTCGCCGTGGTCGTCTTCAGCCATTGCAGGCTCTCCTCGTTGAAGGCGGTGATCGCTAGCGTTCCCCCCCTTCGACGACACTCCAGGAAGCGCGGTCGTGTACCCTCGCCCGCGATCCCATCAATGGCCCCCAGAAGCGCCGACTGGACAAGTCCCATCTGGTCCTCATCCATTCGGACCTCCGGGTATCCATGGGGGACCACCACTGCTTGGATCCCCGACAGCGCCTCCCCGTAAGTCTTGCCACGCTGTCCCGTGGCCTTAGGCCTCTTGGAAACAGGCCGGTCGGAAATCGGCTCACTACCGTCCGACCGTCCACGTTTCTTCCCGAGTCCACTTGGCCCCGGTTCAGCAGCCTGCGGAGTTAGAGTGGTACTTGAGCCAGGTTCCGTCACCGGCCCCTGTCCTTTTCCCGCCTCTGCCTTCCGCAGTTTTTTAAGTTTGCGCTTTTGCGCACCAGACAATTTCTTCCTACCTTCCAGGTTCAGTCTGTCGACTCCCCTAGAGATAGTAGTCACTGGTGTTTGCTTCCCAGTGGCTGTTTTATTTTCCGCCTGGTCAGCAATTACTGCTTCCCCGGCGGATGTTGACGGCCCCCTTTCGGGTTCCCGTTTTTTTGATTTATGGTCCATAAAGGTCCCACGAGTCTGGAGGAAATAAAAGTCACCGCCAGGTAGTGCCCCATGCCTGACGGAAGGCTAAATACGATGGGGTGCGCCAGGTTCCCCAAAGAGATCGTTTGCGATGCGACATTTTTACCTACCCCCGCACCATTCAGCCCTCGGCACGATGCGTTTCCACCTTGGCTTGGGTAGCTGAGCTGTTTCTTAGTTTTCACTACTCTCCCTCGACCTTTCCGGCTTGGGTGACCCTGCCAGGAGTATAAAACTCCCGCCGGTTTAGCTCTTGGGTTCACTGTAGCTACTTAAGCCCCTCCACCAGCGACAAGGTCATACAGCTCCCAGGAGGGGATTGGGTTTAGATTCTTATATAGATATACCCTTGAAAGGGCTTTCTATTTTTGCTTTAAGGTTAGAACTTCCAGTACAGTTCCGCCAAAACCTATTTTCGAAATGATTGAAGCTATTTTACAATTGGTTATCTATTTTATTAAAAATCTAGGTAATATTGTAGTATTCTATACGGAGGCGGGGTCCGAAGGGGGTTAATTCTTGGAGTATGTGATCAGTTGTCGGTAGTGATAGTATTAAAATGATTTACGACTCGTAAGCAATGAATAGTCATCAAGCATCTTTTGTTACGTTTAGATGAGGTGTGTGTTGGGGGCTGCGGTGGTAGTGGTGGTAGCAAAATGGGAGAAGTAATTCAATGGCGAGAAGATAAAAGTCACTGTCTAAGTCATTGGGTGGATTACTAATAATCATTTTATGGCTGTATAATATTGCGGTATAGTAAGGCAGTAGGCGTATGATCAGCTTTTCGCCCTTGGGGTTGGAGGAGTTTTTGGGCTTTGTGCCCATTGAGACTTTTGATCAGCGTGTTAAGAACTACCGATTTGCCAAGTTTCAGAAAAATTGGCCAAAACCCATTTTCCATAAGGATTGAGCGTGGTCCTTTCTATTACAAATAATCACTCAGACTTCCTTCTCTCTTGTTTATTCAACAGTTCAATCATTTTTTATGTCACTTCTTCTTTTATTTATTTTCAACTATTTCCTAGCAACAACTATCTTCTTTTTTCTATACATATTAGATATAACAACAATAGTGAATATGAAAATATCAATATTGTTCTCAACACTCTTCCTCAGTATTGATGTTTTCATTACATAAACCTAATTCTTGTACTAATATTTTAAATGTAGTTTTACACAGTGTCTTGGTTAAGATATCAGCTAATTGTTGCTGGGTACAAATATATTTTACGCTTATAACACCCTCTTCAACCTTTTGCTTCACAAAGTTAAACTTAATATCCATATAATTTAATCACTTTTGGTCACTATTTTTAACTGATTTTATTGTACTTTGATTATCTTCAAAAATGGTTACAGTATCTGTGTCGATATTCAATTCTAATAACAATTTTCTAATCCAACATGCTTCCACTGAAGCTTCACATAACGACACAAATTCTGCTTCCGTTGTACTGAGTGCTACAGTACTTAGTTTTCTTGATTGCCAAATAACTGTATTATCATACACTTTAAACAAGAAACCAGAGGTTGACTTCCTATCTGTATCCCTAGCCCAATCAACGTCTGCATAACCAATAGAGGTAAACTATTATTATTTTTGACATATTTTAACTTATAATTTACAGTACCTTTAACATATCGTAATATTCTTTTCAAAGCTTTCCATAGTTGGTCATTAGCATTAATCTGAAACCTACTTAGATAACAAACTGAGGTAGTTAAGTCAGGTCTTGTCCCCATTGTTGCATACATTAATAAACCTATCAAAGATCTACATTTTCTTTCACACAACTGATCAACAGTATCTGTTTCATTTAATTTCAAGTTAACATCCATTGGAGTATCAATACTGTTACAATTTATCATACCTTATTTTTCCAAAATAATATGCAAATATTTGGTCTATATAAATGGAATCTGAACTTCGCGAAATTAATATGCCTAAATACATCAAGTCTGTATCACCCATATCTTTCATTCTGAATTTAGTAAATAGAAATTTTTTAGTGAATTTATTTCATGTATATTATTTCCTAAAATTAATGTCATCAACATACAACAATAAATACAAATCACGTATATAAGCAAAAATTATTATCAGATCGTTTAAAACCGTAACTTGTAGTAGTCTCACTAAAACACTCATACCAATACTTTGGCGATCTCTTTAGCCCATATAATGAATTCTTTAATTTTAAAACATGTTCTCTGACATTCAGTCCAACCGGTGGTTTTAAGTATACATCTTCATCAATCTTACCATACAAAAAAGTACTTTTTATGTCACGTAAACGAATGTAATAGTCACGTTGAATTGCAGCAGACAGTAGTATTCTCAAAGTTTGAAGCCTCAACAGGTGAGTACACATCATCAAAATTTCCTTGCTGTTGGAACCCTCGAACTACCAATCTTGCTTTACACAACTTATTACTTCCTATTTCTTTTCTTGTAAAAACCCATTTAAATCTAAAGTATCTATGTCACCTTTTTGTGGCACAACATACCAAGTTGCCAACATTGCTTCATCATTGCCATTAAAATCTGTTACATAATCATCTTGCCATTTTGGTTTTTGTCGATTTCTTTTTCTCTTGTTTCCTTTTGTTTCTCTTCTGCATTCTTCTCTTTATTTTCCTGAATATCAATATGTCCCTCATTAACCAATTCACTCTTATTTTCTTCCATATTTATCTGCATAATTGGCATACTTACAGTCTCTTCGTTTTTGTAGTATTTTTCATTAAATATTACATTTCGAGCAGCAACAATTTTACGGTTCTTTTCATCCCATAATTTATATCCTCCTGAACAGTATCCTACCATTACCATTTTTTTTCCTTTTGCATCAAGCTTGTGTCTTAGCTCCTTTGGTACATGATTATATGCAGTGCTACCGAAAACTCTTAAATGTGCCACATTTGGAATTTTTCCTTCCCATAGTTCACTAGGTGTCTTGGCTTTTGATGCTGAATATTAAATAGCTTCACCCCAAAATTCTCTTGGTAAATTGGAATCCAATAACATAGTTCGAGCTTTATTCATTAAAATCCTGTTCATTCGTTGAGCCACTCCTTTCATCTCTGGGATATATGCCACCGTATAATGTAATCTTATGCCTTTTATTTACAAAATTCTTGAAATTTTCTTGATACATATTCTCCCCCATTATCGGTCCTCAACTTTAACAAATCCCTACTAAAATGTTTAGTAACATAATTATAGTAATGCTTGAATTGCTGAAACACATCAGACTAGTTTTAAGTTACCGTTTTATGCAAGGCTGTTGGCCATTTATTCGTTAGCTATAGAGCCAAAACCGTCCGTTTCCCCACTCTGACGAGTGCCGCGCGCACGATCCCACCAAGACTCCTGCTTAGTCGAGGGGGGATTGTGGCAATAAAACCAGCTTTCCTGGACGAAAATTCTCAGTTGGCTGCCAGAACTCGAAAAACTCCAGCACCACCCTGAGGACCATCCCGAGAAACCTGAAACCGAAGCAGCGACCCGGAATAAGTAAGCAGATTGTATTTTCCTAATTTTGCCTGTCCTGCTATGGTATAAGTCTGGCCGTTTTTGAACTCTGGCAAGACAGTACGACCACAGCGTTGTCGGCGAAGGTTTGGCTGGGTGTCCCACCGCCCTCGTTCGACGAACGTTGTCCGTCACATCAACCGAACTGCTGATTTGGCTGGGTATCCCACCGCCCTCGTTCGACAAACGTTGTGAGCCCCTTTACTGAAACTGCTGGTTTGGCTGGGTGCCCCACCGGCAGTAGAGGACGTGAAGGTGTGGAATTGTACAGCAGTAGCGTTGTCGGCGAAGGTTTG